GGGGTTGGAGAAGGGGTAAGGGAGTTGGGGAGGAGGATAAGGAGGGATTGGAGGACGGGGAGGAGGAGGACAGGAGGAAGGGGGAGGGGGGTGGGTTTAGAAACTGGGGCAGCAGCTACGGCGCCGAGACTTCAATGCTCCCGGTCTTGTTCCCCGACCGAGTTGGCGCCTCGTAATTGTCGGGGAAAATAACAAAAAAAAAAAAAAAACTCTATTTCTTCCTTTGTCTGTGAATTACAGTTGTGGCTGAATAGTCTGAAGTTATTTGAGTAATTTTATTCTGCTGAAAAGGGTATTTTTTTGCCTTCCAAGTGCTGTCTGTTTTATTCATTGTGGTCAATTTGCAAGTACGTAAACTTTATTTTTTCAATATAATCATGCATGTTACCGTAAAGATGAATTAATGAGTAATATTGAGTAAATTTACTATGCTGACTGAGTAAATTTTGAGTAAAACGGTGATATTACGTGCATTGGTGACTGAAATTACTTGCACTAAGTAATCAATCGCACATAAATTTTATAAGCGATATATATAATAGATTATATATGTGCATATATATTTTACACACACATATACTCAGATATGAAGTTAGAGAGAGAGAGAGAGAGAGAGAGAGAGAGAGAGAGAGAGAGAGAGAGAGAGAGAGAGAGAGAGAGAGAGAGAGAGAGAGCGCGTGCGCGAGAGAGAGAGAGAGAGAGAGAGCGAGAGCGAGAGCGAGAGAGAGCGAGAGAGAGAGAAAGAGAGAGAGAGAGTGGGAAAAGAAAAAGAAACTGTTTCTTTGAAATATCTCAAGCGTATGGCACCTCCTGTAGTCAACAACATGTCAGCAGACTTCAAGGTTTTCCTGTCATCTGTCACCGCCGCATCCCTCAGCGTGACAGATTTCATGCTCTGTTAATTTGCTAAATTTAGATTTCCTGCTGATTTACTTTCAAAATCGTTTTTTATCTCGACTTATTCAAGAGACGGATTTTTTTTTTCTTCCATATCGCACATCTTTTTATTTTTTATTTTTCTTTATCGTGTCCTCCATTTCTGTCTTTCGTTTTTCCATATTTTATTTTCCTTGTTAAACTTCCTATGTATCTTCAGCTACTGACCTTTGACCTCTTGTGACTCTCTCCTGCCCCTGAATCTCGCATCAACTTCCGCCCTATGTTCTATTTACTTATTTATCTTTCCTTTCTTCTTTACTTGTGTGTTTTCTTCAATGCAGGCGAAATTTCTCTCGTAATTGTAACTGCCCGTTTTTTTAAGGTATTTTTCTTAATTAAACGTTCTTAATTCGCACAACTATTTCTTCGTTTCTTAATTCGCACTTCTTATGCTATAGCTTTTAATTCGCACTTTTTCTAGCTTGTAATTCGCACTCCCATTTCTTCAGCGCGTAATTCTTACACTCTTCATCCTTCAGCTCGTAATTCGCATTTATCTTTCTTCGGTTCGTAATTCGCACTCTTCTTTCTTTTAATTCGCACTCCCGAACTTTCTCTTTATTGCTACATTTTACACGCGTCTGCTCTTCAATTATCGAGCTTATGGGTGTGGTTCTGCGCTGATAGGCTTTCACTGTTATATATATTATTTTTGTGGTTATTGTTTTTTGTTTGTTTGTGTATTCGTTCCCTTTAATGCCCTCCGACCTCTTTGTGGTTAGCATTTGTCCTTCTATAACTGTATTTTTTCCATGTACTCATTACTTAGGTATATCCTTCTTCTTGTACATTTCTGGTATTTCATTTTTTTTAAATATGCCTTTGTTTCATATTCGCTTTGTCTTCATACTTTTTTTTTCTCCTAAACCCCTTTTTTGTATGTGTGTGTCTCCGTCTTATTATTCATATTGTGTAGGTTCGTTATTCATTTATCGTTATTCCTTTGTTTCCTTATCTTGTGTCACTCTGTCCATGAGGAGGTGCAAGCGAAGGGCGTGGCAAAGGTGCTCAGCTCTAATAAGGTGCAGGTAACCTTGGGTAATGAAGCCTCACGGTTCACCTGTCTGTCTCGGTTCATAACAATGGGCATTTGATTCGTGCTTAAACTGATGTAAATGTCTTGTAGTACGTCTGGTCATGCTGTTAAATTAAGGAGATTTATAGATACCGTGAATATCTCGATTTTATTTTTTCTAAGAAGAGCAAATTTGTAATTCAGCGGTTTGTGATATTCGAGGCGGCATCGGATCTTCGTTTCGAACTTTCGTTTAGAGAAAAAAATAAGCATCTTTTTTTCCGTGACTATACGCGCAAAAATCGCACCAATTAACTTGTTTGCAGACGAAGTGAAAACACGATCTCTTGCAACACGAAGGCACGTCTCCGAAGCCCTTTGAACCAATTATCTCGTCTTAATGAGAAGGAAGGGCCTTGGCATATCTCGTTGTGAAAGGGTATGGACACTAATGTTTCCTTGAGAGCCTACCATGTTATGCAATGCAGCAGGAGCGATGAAAGGCACCGTTATGCGGGTCGCCTCACCTGGTAAATATGTTGCACATGTTGATGCCGCAGACGTGTTGCGGCGAGGCTCACGTGAGAGAGGAAATGTATGCATTTTTTTCTGATTTTTAACGGAATTACTTTGTTTATGCGTGAAAGAGAGAGTGAGTGACTGGGTAAGAGGGAGACTAGAAGGAATTCACACACATGAATATATATATACACATGTCTATCTGTCTATCATTTATCTATTTGTTTAATAATCAATTTACAATGTGTGTCCGAGTGGATGTTCTTGCGTGAGTGAGAGTATGTGCATTTTTTCTGATTCTTGGCAACAAAGTAACATAACCGTTCTGCAAGGAATGAGTCACCTGAATAAAAACAAGTCTTGAAGTACAGACAAAAGGGTGTTCTTCAAGCTGTGAGACTTATCCAGTGGTATGCCTAACTGTGATGGCTAATTTTAGCTTCCATGACAAACCACCTGACTATCTATCTATCTGGTGGTCTATCAACTAAATCTCTCTTCCCCTCTCTCTCTCCCTCCCTCCCTCCCTCCCTCTCTCTCTCTCTCTCTCTCTCTCTCTCTCTCTCTCTCTCTCTCTCTCTCTATCTCTCTCTCTCTCTCTCTCTCTTCCTCTCTCTCTCTCTTTCTCTTCCTCTTTCTCTCCCCCCTTGTCTCTCTCTCCCTCTCTTCTCCCTCTCTCTCCCTCTCCCTGCTTCCCTCCTCCCCTCCCTATATATATGTGCGTGCGCGTGTGTAATTTTCCAGCCATCGTTCTCATTATGTTTTTCTCGTACCTTTAAGTAATAACGCTTACCAGATTTTTAAATAAATATTTGGTTTTGGCGGAGGAATGAAGGAGAGAGAGAGATAGAGAGAGAGATAGATAGAGAGAGATAGATAGAGAGAGAGAGAGAGAGAAGAAAGAGAAAAAGACAAAGAAAAAAAAAGAAAAAGAAAAAGAAAACAAATAGAGACAGACAGACAGACATAGAAAGAGAGAGAAAAGAAAGAGATGAAAAAAAGAGAGCCTGGAATGCAATCCGGATACAGCTTACGCCATCATCGGCCTCGACCAGAATACCACCCCAGGCACCGGCACTCGTCTCAGGTGCCTTAGTCATCTCATTGCAGGATCTTCCCGATTTCACAATTAGTTGATTATCGCAAGGATGAATGGTGATAATGGCATGATTGGTGATTTTCATGAAAAACACGAACAAGGAATGGTATTATGGCATTCTGGTTGATTTTCGTGAAAGGCGAAGGACAGGAATCATGGTATTCCTGATAACTTTCGTGAAAAGCAAAGAAAATGATAATGGCATTATTGATGATTCTCGTGAAAAGCAAAGAAAAAAAAAGAAAAAGGAGAAGGAGAAGGAGAAGGAGAAGGAGAAGGAGAAGGAGAAGGAGAAGGAGAAGGAGAAGGAGAAGGAGAAGGAGAAGGAGAAGGAGAAGGAGAAGGAGAAGGAGAAGGAGAAGGAGAAGGAGAAGGAGAAGGAGAAGGAGAAGGAGAAGGAGAAGGAGAAGGAGAAGGAGAAGGAGAAGGAGAAGGAGAAGGAGAAGGAGAAGGAGAAGGAGAAGGAGAAGGAGAAGGAGAAGGAGAAGGAGAAGGAGAAGGAGAAGGAGAAGGAGAAGGAGAAGGAGAAGGAGAAGGAGAAGGAGAAGGAGAAGGAGAAGGAGAAGGAGAAGGAGAAGGAGAAGGAGAAGGAGAAGGAGAAGGAGAAGGAGAAGGAGAAGGAGAAGGAGAAGGAGAAGGAGAAGGAGAAGGAGAAGGAGAAGGAGAAGGAGAAGGAGAAGGAGAAGGAGAAGGAGAAGGAGAAGGAGAAGGAGAAGGAGAAGGAGAAGGAGAAGGAGAAGGAGAAGGAGAAGGAGAAGGAGAAGGAGAAGGAGAAGGAGAAGGAGAAGGAGAAGGAGAAGGAGAAGGAGAAGGAGAAGGAGAAGGAGAAGGAGAAGGAGAAGGAGAAGGAGAAGGAGAAGGAGAAGGAGAAGGAGAAGGAGAAGGAGAAGGAGAAGGAGAAGGAGAAGGAGAAGGAGAAGGAGAAGGAGAAGGAGAAGGAGAAGGAGAAGGAGAAGGAGAAGGAGAAGGAGAAGGAGAAGGAGAAGGAGAAGGAGAAGGAGAAGGAGAAGGAGAAGGAGAAGGAGAAGGAGAAGGAGAAGGAGAAGGAGAAGGAGAAGGAGAAGGAGAAGGAGAAGGAGAAGGAGAAGGAGAAGGAGAAGGAGAAGGAGAAGGAGAAGGAGAAGGAGAAGGAGAAGGAGAAGGAGAAGGAGAAGGAGAAGGAGAAGGAGAAGGAGAAGGAGAAGGAGAAGGAGAAGGAGAAGGAGAAGGAGAAGGAGAAGGAGAAGGAGAAGGAGAAGGAGAGGGAGAAGAAAAAAGGAAAAGGAGAGGGAGAGGGAGAAGGAGAAGGAGAAGGAAAAAGTAAAAAGAAAAAGGAGAAGGAGAAGTAAAATAAAAATAAAACAAATATCCCACTATAGTTTTTTTTATATTTTAAAACACGAAAATCTCATAATCTAACACCGAAATACCTTTTTTGTTTCCTTTCAGACGAAATAGAGAAACGGCAGGCCAGTGAGCCGGAGCGACGCGTGGTCTGCTACTACACAAACTGGTCGGTGTACAGAAGGGGCATCGCGAAGTACACACCACAGAATATTAACCCTTACCTGTGTACTCACCTGATCTACGCCTTTGGAGGACTCACCGACGAATTTGAAGTGAAGCCTTTCGACACTTATCAGGATATTGAACAAGGTGAGTAAGGAGACTGTGTTTTGTGTTTTTGTTATGTGGTTTATTCATGTGTGGATATATGTATGTGTGTGTATGGTGTTATAGGCATGAACACGCACACGCACACGCACACGCATACGTACACGTACACGCGAACGCACACGCATACGTACACGTACACGTACACGCGAACGCACACGCACATGCACACACACACACACACACCTACACAGCATACGTACAGTGTACATAGCAGACCAAGCACAACCAGACTCCCACTGACAACCACATCAATCTCCCTTTTAACTCCTTTCTGCACAACACTCTACCCCACCCCCTCCCTCCCCTCCCCTCCCTCCCTCACTCCCTCCCTCCCTCCCTCCCTCACTTCCCTCCCCTCCCTTACCTCCCTCCCATACCCTCCTCTCCGCTCCCCTCACTTCCCTCCCCTCCCTCAATCCCACCCTCCCCTCCTTCCCTTCCCTCCCATACCCTCACCCCCATCTCCCTCTCACACCCATACCCTCAACCCCTCTCACCCCATCTCCCTCCCTCCCATACCCTCCCCTCGCTCAATCCCTCGCTCCTTCCCATACCCTCACCCCTCTCACCCCTATCCCCCTCTCTTAATCCCTCCCTCCCTCCCTCCCATACCCTCAACCCCTCTCACCCCCATCTCCCTCCCTCCCATACCCTCCCCTCGCTCAATCCCTCCCTCCCTTCCCTCCTCTCCCATACCCTCACCCCCTCTCACACCCCATCTCCCTCTCTCCCACCCAGGCGGCTACGCTAAATTTAACGGCCTCAAGCAATACAACAAGGGCTTAAAGACCCTCCTGGCTATCGGCGGCTGGAACGAAGGCTCGGGTCGATTCAGCGAGCTCGTGTCTCTGCCTGAGTACCGAAAGACGTTCATTATCTCGGCCATAAGGCACCTGCGACGCTACAACTTCGACGGTCTCGATCTGGACTGGGAGTACCCTGCTTCTCGAGATGGGTCGGCGCCTGAGGATAGGGAGAACTACGCAGCGCTGGTCAAGGTAAGGGGGTCCATTTGAGAATTTTTTTATTATTTTTTTTAAAGGTGGTGGTGTTCTTTATTATCAATTTTTGTTGTTGTTTTGTTTTGTTTGTTTGTTTTTGTTTTCGGTGGTTTGGTTTGATTTGTTTGATTTTTTTGTCTCTGTTTTGTTTGTTTTCCTTTCCCTGTCTCTGTATCTCTCTTTCCTTTTTTCCTCTTTCTGTTTCCGTTCTGTTTGTCTGTCTGTCTGTCTGTCTGTATGTATGTATGTATGTATGTATGTCTGCCGGAGTTTATCTATGATAAATAGATAAACTAATAAAGGAAAAATTGCTTCACTAAACGCACTCTGATGATAAGCCTAAACACACGAAACACACACACACGTGCACGCACTCACTCACTCACTCACTCACTCACTCACTCACTCACTCACTCACTCACTCACTCACTCACTCACCCACCCACCCACCCACCCATCCACCTGCACACACACACACACACAAAACAAGCAAAAACAAAAACAAGAACAAGAACAGACCATTATACTCTTTTACCAAAAGAAGGGAAACGTGTCAGTTTGCTTTATGATGAACATGAAAAAAAAAATTGTCTCGTAAAACAGTCAAGGACAAGGTATCCCTTAATGGTCATGTAGCAAAGTAGAACACGTTTTTTCTGGGTATTTTAGATATATTTTGTTGGATATTTTAAAAAATGAATCAGTTAAAAAAAATCCAAGGTTAACTCTCCGTCCAGATTGCAAGGTTAACATCTTCCGTCTAGCTTGCTTCAGTAACTGCATGATCCTCGAGCAAATGTGATCAGCCCTGCAGTGCAACATCTGCTGTTGCTTCATCATTTTACCCCGAGGCAACACCAAAGAGATAATTGATAAATAGATGAACAAAGGAAGAACAAAAACAAAAAACAAATAAGTGTTTTTGTAGTGGATGTGTCTGTCTCTTGTTCTCTTGTTGGAGTGTTTACTAGTTTACTTATCAAAGTCAATATCGACAAGATGTTTAACAAATACATGTTTACTAGTTTACTTAACAATAGTTTTCCTATCAAGTACATATTTACTAGTTTACTCAACAATAGTTTTCTTATCAATATCGACAAGATAACTAACTTACTAACATGAACAAAACAAGAACAAGAAAAACCAGCGCATTTAGAGATCAGTAAGTGAACACGTGAACAAAGGAATGACAAGAGAAATGAATCCTTTTAAAGAACAGTCATCAAACTCCAATCTCTTGTCCTTATCTGATGTATTTCCATGATGCT